GGGGTCTTGTTCTTGCTCAGGCTGATCTTGAACCTGTGAGCTTAGGCATCCACCTGCCTTGGACTCCCAGAGTGCTAGGATTACAGGCATGAACCACCACGCCCGGCCTTCACTTCCAATATGTATTTATAACCTAAAAGTATCAGTGTAACAGCTGAAATAAAGGGAAGTCCATTCTCTTTCTTCTAAAAAGTATGAGTTTATCATTTCTTTTTTATGAATTGACAGTTTCTATGTCTCATATAGCCTTAATCAACATTTACTAAGAGCCTGCTGTGTAACTGAAGAAATACTCAGAATTGGAGGAGAAAGGTATTTGAGTTTGTTGTTTTTGTAAAATACAGTATATATGTTTGTGTGAGAGTGAGAGAGAGGGAGGAAGAGGAGATAATATAAAATTTGATTCATTACAGTGAATTATGATTAGAAGTAATCAGGGTAAGTTTAAACAAAAAAGCTTTAAAGTTTTAAAGCTTTATTTTGAAGGAAGAGTAGATTAGTAGACTATAAATTCGGGATAAATTCACAGCCTGATCCACCAGAACTTTTACCTCTTTATTTTACTGTACTGTGTATGAGTCTCTTGTGTTTAAGCTGTGGAAAGAGAAGGAGTTATGAAGGAGAGAGGAAGAGGATAAAAGATCACTGTGCTGTAGAAGTCAGGTGAGAATGATTGTTACAACATCATGTAAGGGTTTTAGGGGACTGAGGCCGGTAAAGGGGATGCTAATAGCCTCATTGGTGACTTTCTAGAGATCAGATCTCAGAGAGTTGTGATGACAAAAATCAAATCATCAGGGATCAAAGAGTGAATGGATATTGAAGAAATAGAGAAAGTCATTATAGATTTTTTCTTCTGAGTGATTTTTTGGTAAAAGGAAAAAGAGTAGATTGCAGCAGGCCAAAGACAGATGATTATTGGGTGGGGTGTGTTAAGCACGTTTATAGGTGGAAGGCAAGGAATCGAAATACGGAGATTCAGAGAGATACAATCATTGAATTATAAAACAAATAAAAGTGGGATAATATCTTGAAAAGGGGGATATATATGTCTTCCTTTGACATAAAGGGGGGGATTCCAAATGAAGAGACTGTTTTCATGTGGAGGACTGAGAAGGTAAGCTATTTACATTTAATGGTTTCTGTGTTTTCAAGGGAGTAAAACTTACTATAAAATGAGAGATAGGAATTGGGTAAGAGGGGTTTGAACAGGGCAAAGAACATTTGGCATTATAACTTTGGAAAATAATCATGTGATCAAGTAAATTAGAGATGAGTGAAATAATTTTCCAGGTTGCATGAATGATGATAGGTTTATTGGTTTAGTTTTATGATTTCATACC